GTAGTATTGAGAGATTTGTCTTCCAATTCACTCGTTCTGGCTTCCATCTCTTCAATTCTACTCCTTTGCCCTTTCAGTGTGTTGTCCATTTCTGATATTTTATTATTAATCATCTGGACCTCTTTTTACAGGTTTTGAATTGTTTCCAATGATGTATTTATCTTGTTTGATTGCTCCTGTAGCACTTTCTAGACTTCTTCCTTATTTTCCTAGACTCCTCTATGGAGCATTTGAATTTGTCTCCATATCAATCTTCTGAATTCCTTCTCAAGAGATCCAAAGCCTGCTCTTCTTCTAGTGAGGAGTCTGTGTCTACCTCCACCTCATTTGTCTCAGTTACTCTTTTCTGGTTTTGGTTACGTGAAACAGTACATCAACAGGGAACCGCCAGAAATTCAAGCTTAATTCAGAAAAGAACATGGGATGAGGTACATTCAGCTGATGTAGTTGGATCTTGGTTGAAAGCAGAGAATATCAGAAATACATTGACCTGTGTTTCACAGATTATGAAAAGGCATTTGACTGTGTGAATCACAACAAATTATCGATAAGACTGGAAGACTAGGACTGCCCGCACACTTGATTTTGGTCATGTAAAAGGCAGTCGTTTGGACAGAGCAAGGGGGAACTGCAAGGTTTAAAATCAGGAAAGATGTGTGTCAGCATTATATCCTTTCAACATACTTATTCAAACTATATATTAAGCAAGTCATCTGAGATGCTGGACTATATGAAGAAGAACATGGCATCAGAATTGGAAGAATACTTGTGAACAACTTTTGACATGCAGATGAACAACCTCGCTTGCTAAAATAAAAAAATTGAAGCACTTATTCATGAAGATTAAAGACTAAAGCCTTTACTAGGAAATACACCTGAACATTAAAAAGGCACAAAAATCTCCACAACTGTACCAATAAATATTATCATGACAAACAAATAAAAGACTGAAGTTGGTAAGGATTAATTTTACTTGGATCCACAATCAACACCCAGGGAAGTAGCAGTCAAGAAATCAAGTGACAAATTACACTGGGTAAATGTGCTAAAAAAAAAGTTCTTTTAAAAATGTTAAAAAGTAAAGAAGTCACTCTGAGGACTAACATACTCCTGACCAAAGACATGGTATTTTCAATCGCCTTATATGTATGTGAAAGTTGGATAATGAATAAGTTAGACTGAAGAAGACTTAATATTTTTGGATAATGATATTGTGAAAAATATTGACTATACTATGGACTGCCAGAAGAAGGAACAAATCTTTCTTGGAAGAAGTATAGCCAGAATCTTCCTTGGGAGCAAGGATGGAGAGACCTTCATCTTACGTATTTTGCTTTTTGTCCCCAGATATTCAAGGAACTTTATTTTTTGAAGACAATTCAAATTAAGACATAGTTTTCATTTACTAAAGATACATAATCCAAAATACACTCACCTGGAAAATTACCCATGAAATACAACGGCAATGCAATTTTACATATGTAAAGATTGCCATCTATAGCAATTTAACAGTCAAATTAATCAAGACATTACACATTAAAAAGAACACCTGCCATTTTATAGTCAATTTTTAAAAACAAATCAAGAGAACTTCTGATAGGGAATTATTTGACTCAAAGCAAAGATAAGGTATCTGCTATGCCCTTAGAGCAATTAACGTTCACTTTCAAAGTTACAATAATAAAATAGAATTAGTTAATCAAGACAACAGTTTCAAGAAAGGAAGCAAGTACAAGGGGTTGATTTACTTGTGAGAAAGGCAGCTAACAGTGCAATTCAAAAAACCTGCTGGCTCTAGGTCAGCTGATTCTTTTCCGATTCCTTCATTATGAGCCGTTTAGCAAACATGAGAAGTCAAGGTCCTAAACTTTCTTACCAGTCCTCTCCCTTACTTCCACCCCACCCCCCCACCCCGGTACTCAGGGCTATCAGCTCTATGAGGTTTAGACTGTGTATACACTAGGCAGATTTCCCTTCTGTTCCTCTTAAAACAGCTTATTTTAAAAGAGATTTTGTTGTTCTTAAGTGCCATTGAGTTGGTTCTGACTGATAGCGAACTTGTATAGGGTTTCCAAGGAGTGGCTGGTGAGCTTGAACCACCAACCTTGTGGTTCAAACCAAATTTGCAGTCCAGCGCATCACAAAGCAGAAAGAAGCAGCTTTCTTTTCAATTAATATGTAGACACCACTCAGGTTTTTATCACAAGTTATCCCTAAGTATACGAATAACCAATACTGGCACTTTTTCTAAAGTACTTGAAAACCCCAAAACCCGCCTTATGCCACTCTTACCCCTACCATTAGTAAAAAAAACCCTAGAAAAACCTTTCAAATCATACAACAAAGGGAAGACGGAAGACTGTTTCTTATGAGTAAATCCATGTATTTCTAGATACTATTCTAGCCTGATGCTATTCTAGTATGGCACTGTGGGTTAATGCACTAGATTGCAAACTTGGTTTGATCTGCAAGGTCGATGGTTCAGGCTCACCAACCACTTCTCAGAAATCCTATACAGGGTCGCTATGGATCAGAACCGATTTGATGGCACTTAACAATGAATCATAAATATAGAAAAAGCATTTTCAAACTAACTGTAACTTAATTTTGTAGATGTACCTTTTTTGGTATTAAAAGTTCTATGGTCTATGTGCTTGCTGGCGGCCGGGGGCAGGCTTGCAGGGTGTACCCTTTGGTTGTTTGATGATGCATGGAGGGGATTGTAATCATTGCAATGAAATGAAATACGATAGGATGAATGTAAAGCTAACATTCTCTCATGTAAACTATCACATAATTCACAATAAAAACGAAAAAAAAAAAGTGATATTAACACGCTAAGATGTCTTATGGTACATTGGAATCAATAACATGTCCTTATGAAGCATTCATTTCTAGTAGTATTTTTTCCTAAAATTTTGTCTAAGAAAGTAATAAGCCCTTTTAATAAATTAATTCTGGTGAAATTGATGACATATATAAACAAATCTTCCCTGATTCCTCTCCATCATAGTAGCTCTTTTAGTGAATCTGCAATGACTAAATTACAAAATGCTCAACCAAGTTTGTTTTTACGGGACCATGCAAAATCCAAGATAGTATCTTAGAAATGATATTGGTAGATTAAATAGTGTGGCTATAAGCCTTTACATTAGGCATTTGCTGTTAAGTGCTACCCAGTCAGTTCTGACCCATGGTGACCCTTAATAGGGTTTCCGAGGAGCACCTGGTGAGCTTGAACCACTGACTTTGCAGTTCAAACTGACTTTGCAGTCCAGCACATTAACCCACAGACCATACCAGGAGTTGTGGCACTGTGGATTAATGTGCTACAATGCAAAGCCATTTGAACTGCAAGGTTGGCTATTCAAGCTCACCAGCTGATCCTCAGAAACCCTATACAGGGTCACTATGGGTTGCAATCGACTCTACGGCACTTAGTAACAACAACAACAACAACAACAAGGTTGTGGTAATTAAGCTACCTTTGTAGTTGTTCCATTTATAAGCACTATTACAGGACAGTTTCATGATCTTATATGGGAGTGTGCTTTCAAGACATAGTAGTACTCAATTGCCTAGCTATATAAAAGCCAGATTTCAAATTTTAAATGATGTTAATTGCATTTACACATCAGGGTTAACAAAATCTAGACAGTCTACACAGATCTGATATAATTAACCATACAGCATACAGTTTGAATAAGTAAGGCTCGCTACTGTAGCATAACAATCAAATTTTATTGATTTATTCATGTGGTATTTTTGCAACACGCTGTGGTATGGACTAGAAAACTTGGAATGATTCATGAAGAAATTCTGGAATGACACATGAAGGATGATATGAAAAGTCATTCTGAGGTAGGATGCTTTACTTAATTGTTCTTAACCAGGAAATCAAACATCAGGAATGAGTTCAAGTTATAATCCACAGGGAAATAGAAACATCTTAAGGTTCAGTCACTTCACATGCATATCCTGATAATCTAAATGAACTGGAAAACTGCAGAGCCACAAACAGGAACATTCCAGAGCACCTATAACCAGGATACTATAGACACCTTTTCTTTGGGGGCATTTCTTGAGGTCTTGGCTATATTGCCGCACTGAGTGATATTTTTGTTGTGCCTCTTCTTGGCCCTATGGATCTACCGCTTGGGGACCATCTTTATGGCGCTACCACATGCCCTGGCCACCTCACACTGACTCATTTATCTCCCCTACAGTTCCAGCGAGGCTTTGCTCCTGGAGCCTGTGACGCTGAAGGGAAGAAACTCTCTTCAGCTGGGCCTGGGCGCAGTTTCTGGGGGCTGAGCATTAAGGGGGTGAGGATCACCAACTGGCTGACCAAGCTGGACTGATGGGCCAAGTAGCGCAGATCCACAGAAGAACGAGAGCTGGCTGCTGGGACATTCTTGCACCGCCGAGAGTGTGGAGTGTCAGGGGAAGGAAGAGCACTGCAACACCCTGACAGGCAGCCTGCTACCTTGAACTACTTTGGGTTGGGCTGCCAACATTAGTATTGGATGGGCTCAGGCCCGTGGAAGTCTGTCATTTATACTTTGGATGATTTAACAAGAAGATCAGTACTGGGAGAAGGGTATTATGTTTGGTAAAGCAGAGAATCATGCCTACAGTGGCAGCAACAATGGGCTCAAGCACAACAATAAATTGAGAAGGTGCAAGACCAGCAGTGTTTCGGTCTGTTATACCTAACAACAAATATTTATAAATATTATTTAGTGTTTCTCTAGGTTTCCTACATAAGTTAATCTTATCTTTCTAGCTATAGGAAGGAGTGGATCTTTTATGGATCATACTAAAGAACATGGCTTAGGGAATTTAATATGCCCTTGAATAAAGAGTTAATTGAAGAGAGATACTATTTACTTAAAAGGTAATACCTTAAATGAATTGTAAGCATAACCCTCACAGAATAGCATTATTACTTAGGGAGACAGTTTTTAGAGATGGGGTAATTCCCTCCAGTGATAAGTTACCTTGTTGAAGAGTATGGACATGAAGAAGAGGTCCAGTAGCATGGTCTCTGAAAAAGCTTCATAATCAAATTTGAAAAAGAGAATGGTGAAGACGACTGTGATGTACTGATAAGTAGGGCTGCTAAAAGAGGATCTCAGCAACTTCAAACCAGCAATGGTGATCATTAAAGCACCTAGTCTACAACATAAAGAAAGCACTGATCGTCAACTATTGACTTAAACTTCAGGATGTCTATGCAGTTCAGAACCATCACCATTTAAACTACTGAGCTTAGTGTACCAACCAATTTAAACTAAAAATTTACTTAGTTAAGCAAATTAGATTTTAAAATAATTTGACTAGTACAGTATTCACATCTAAGAATATGTATTATGATTCTTATTCTTTACATAATAAGACTGTTGAAAAAGAAAAAATATATTATTTGCTTTAACATTAACTGCATTTAGCACATGAAAAACAAACATTAATGCTAACTCAACAACATGTACCTACTCTAGAAGGTAGGCCTACAGATAATCATGTAGGCAACTGACCATATATATCTGTGGTATAATTTACATAGTACAAAAAAAAAAATCATCTCACAAATGGGCCATATAATATTAGTAATTAATATATGCCCATAAAACATGTTAACAACGAACAAAAGTAGATGTTTGGATAAGGGGAGTTAGAGACAAAACTTCACCTCAAATTTAATTTCACAGTGCCATAAATAGACAATTAATGATTATTTGTTATTTGATCAATTACTTAACATTGCTTACATTCTCTCAATAGTCAGACTTAGTTAGAGGACTATTTTACTTACTCTGTATCCAGTTTTTTTGGACTAGCAATCATCTCTGCACTGTTACTAAGCTCATTGAGAACAATCAATGGGTAGATGATATTCTTCTCCACAAAAAGAAGCCACACATGAAGTTTCTCAAACCACATCATAGTGGCAGCATCTAAGATGACAATATAAGGCAAGAAGACTACATGTCACCAACTGTATAAAAGTTTGGCAATGTGATGAAAAAGGAAAACCTTACAACTCAAATTTAGACCTAGTAGAAATAAACAAAGGTGGCATAGTATGTTACACACTGGAATGCTACCCACAAGTTCAAATCTACCAGCTGTTCTGCAAAGAGAGATGAGTCTTTCTGCTCCCATAAGAATGTACGGTCTCAGAAATGCTATACAGGGTTGCTATGAGTCAGAACTGACTCGACAGTACACAACAACAAAAATAAAGGAGCCCTAGTGGCACAGTGGTTAAGTGTTTCAGGTACATGGTTTGAAACTACCAAGGACTCTGTGGGGAAAAAAAAAATGTGGCAGTCTGCTTGAGTATGGCAACACTATGCAGCAGTCCCACAGGGTTCTACTGTGTTCTATAAGAGCTCTATGAGTTGTAATTAACTCAATGGAAATGATTCTCTTGGGTTTTTATAAATAACTTCAGAAATCCAGCAATTAAGTCAACTGTCAACTTCTATGAATTATGGAATACATCCAAATTTGCAATTCAGAGATTATTTTTTAAATCTAAACTTTTACTCATTTATGCCTATCTTACTGGAAAGGTTACTGAAGATGTCTTAGGCTGTTCTTAACCTAAAAAGAAAGCAGCTGTTATTCACATTGAAAATGCTAAAATATATATGCAAACATGAATCAATTCTTCTATTATTCCTTATTCATTGTTCAACTTTCACATGTATATGTGGCTATTGAAAGTACCATGGTTTTGGTCAGGTTCACCTTAGTCTTCAAACTGACATCTTTGCTATGGAACACTTTAAAGAGGTCATTTGCAACAGATGTTTTTAATGCAAATCGTTAATTTTTTGTCTGCTGCTTCCCAGACTGTTGATTGTGAATCCAAACAAAAGGAAGTCTTTGACAACTTCTACCTCTTGTTTATCATGACTTTATTTACTTGTCCAGTTGTCAGGTATGTGGCTTCTTTACATCGAGATGCAATTCACATTGAAGGCTTTGATCTTCCATCATTAAGTATTTTAAGACCTCTTTCCTTCTAATAAGCAAGTATGTTTCATCTGTATATCATAGGTTAATAAGTCTTCCTCCATTCTTAATGTCATGTTCTTCATATCTGCAAAAGATTTTTTTCCCATTCTGTGGGTTCCTTTTTCATTCTTCTGGTGAAGACTTTTGATGCATATAAGTTTTTAATTTTTAGTATGTCCCAATCATCTATTTTGTCTACTTTTGTTTGTGTAGTTTTCAAAATGTTTGGTAGTCTGTGTATTCCCTGAATTACAGCCCTCACATTTGTCTCTACTTTTTTCTTCATGGCCTTCATAATTCTGGGATTCAGATTTAGGTCTTTAATCCATGCTGAGTTGGTTTTTGTATATGGTGAGAGGTAAAGGTCTTGTTTCAATTTTTTGCATATCGCTTTCCAGTTCTGCCAGCACCATCTGTTGAAGGGGCTATC